CGCGCACCCCATTCAGACAGATGCATAGAGAAAAGGGTAAGATGAGTACTAAGGAAGTGGTGGAATATGACATATAGTCAGGATATGGTAGTTTGAAGTCAGAAGCCAACCCTCGGTTTAAAAACTTTTTTGGCCGTATGAGCATACGTTGCTCAGGGCGCTCTACGTGGAGGTAAGTCTATAGCCCTCTTCATAAAATAAAATGGAACGCTCTTAATATTGAGCATGACGGAGAATATGAAGTTAAATTCAGACTTCATGGTTCGTATTGGAGCGCGTGGTCATCTAAAGGGCTAATGATAACTATCATAATGCCTGCTATTTGGCTTACATAGATATTCTCTCAAAGTTGTTTATAAGGTTGATTGGCTAACGATCATAATTTGGGCATATAAATGTTCGCTTTTCCCAGCTCTTCTGAGGGTCTTTTTCTTGGAGAAGGTTGTTGAGGTTGTGTCCAATGCTTACATGTGTATCTTCCACTAGACCATCTGTTTAATCACTAATTACTTGAGGTTCAATAAATCAGCATAACTGGCAGCCAATTTGGAATTTAACTCCAAAATGAAATAGAGACCTAACCTTCTCGAGCATTCAAGTATTATTCCGGAAGGAATGCATAAGAAGTTAATCAAACTAATTAACCTTATAATTAGAAGATACCCCACTTTTAAGGGAACGATATTGCTCACATACGATTTACTTTTTCCACGAACTATTAGATTGGCAACTATGTCATTGCCGATTTCAAATAAGAAGGCAAATTTGGAATTTTTGTTTAAAAATATAACTTTATTCAATTAGATATTGGCCGTTCTTGTCGATGACCTTTTTCCATCGTTCTAGCAGAGTAAAAATTCCCCGTTCGTAAAATGTCTGATCTTTGCTATTAAAAAACTGAATTAGGTGTGATCCGACATCATCCGCGTTGTTAAACATTTTACCATTTAAAGAGTTTTGCATGGAACGAAACAAATGATAATCCGAAGGTGCAAGGTGAGGGCTATATGGTGGGTGTGACAAAACATCCCAACCCAGTTCCAATAATTTTTGCCGAGTAACCAAAGATGTGTGGGGTCTTGCGTTATCAAAGATGTGTGGAAAACGACACCCTTCCGATTTGATAATGCCGGCCGCTTATCTTCAATTGCATCCTTCAGTTTTTCGAGTTCTTCAACATACACATTTGAATTTATCGTTTGGTTCTGCAGCATGAGTTCAAAATACAAAATTCCTTTGTGATCCCACCACACTGACAGCATAATCTTTTTTTGGTGAATCTCTGCTTTTGATACTGTTTGGGCTGGTTGATCTTGCTTCACCCATGATCTCTTGCGAGTAACATTGTTATAAACTATCCACTTTTCGTCGCCAGTAACTAGGTTCTTCAGAAATGGATCATTCTCATTGCGTTTCAGTAGCGGTGAATCACAGATGCTAATCCGTTGCGTCAAATGAATTTCCTTTAACTGGTGAGGGATCCATAAATCAAGTTTCTTGACATAGCCAAGGGTTTATAATTTTTTTTCAATGCATGTATGCGACACATTGAGCTTCTCTGCAATATCTCGTGTTGTGCTGTGACGATTTGAATCGATAATGGCCTTGATATGGGTTTCATCCACTTCGACTGGGCGGCCAGATCGTTGTGAATTTTTCAGTGAAAAATCACCGGAACGAAATCTTTCAAACCAATTTCGACACTGCCTTTCTTTTAAGGCTTCATCTCCATATACGGCACATAACTTCTTTTGTGCTTGCGATGCGTTCTTGCCTTTTCGGAAGTAATACAATAAAATGTGTCGGAAGTGCACGTCCTGTTCTTTCATTTTTAAATTGGGATAAAAACAAAACTAAAGAACTAAACAAAAAAATTTTTNATAAATTTAAAAAAAAATGTTCTTTACTTTTCACTGACAAAAAATTAATAACTATTTCAAGTATTTAAATATGATGCAACTCCTTAACGTGCAAGAAGATGAAAACGGGTAATTAGCAAACACTGTGATGTTTGAAATTCCCTTCAGCATCTCAACTATCGCCCTTTGGCTGTAAGAATTTGTACACGACATCTAAATGGCACGACCCATAATTTCCCTTGAGGGGCGCGCAGTAGACTTACCTCCACGTGGTGCACCCTGGCCAACGAATACTCATATGGCCTAAAAGGTCTAAAACTGGCAATTGACTTCCAACCACCATGACCTGAATGTATGTCATATTCCAACACTTCCACAGTGCTCACATAACCTTATCTTTTTCTCTACCAATGTGTCTGTCTCCCTTACATCTGTGAATCACTCTTCTGCCCTCCCCCCCCCCTTCGACTCTTTGTGACTTTAACGCTCCTCCCCTCTGTGAAGTCTGAAGTCAACAAATCGATAATAAGAACCATCATAAAGCCTGCCATTTGAAATAAATAAATGAATAATTTACCTTACTGTGAAAGTCAATCAGATATAAGTACAACGCTTTTGCATCGACCTGTAGGCTTCAGCCCAATTATTGAATAATAAGCTTCTCAGATTTATGCCACACTAATTGAATTAAACTTATGCCTCTATACTCGCATTAGGGAAATAGGCAATGCACTAGTTAAAGAAGATTCCTCTTATTTGAACTTCGATGGAGAATAGCTTCCGACCCACATTACACTTTTAGCATTTTGGCTCTCAAAATCTATCATCGCTTTTCAGCTATAAATAGTCTCTTTTGGCGCATGATGTATTATAATGAGGTTTAAAACACTTCAAAAACAGTATAATTTAGAGTTGAAGAATCCTGAAATTAGAAGGCTTCCAGTTTCACCTTTGCCCAATTTCATAAGGCTTATTTCGTTGCAAGAAGATCATAATCGACAAAAAGAACAATATAAGAGCATTTTCTGAAATAGGAAAACTTTCTCTTTCATGCCATAACCGCCAACCCCTCACCCCACCCATCCTTTGACTTTGCATCTTTCTTCTATTTGCATGGAATCAATGGCATCAGGTGACCCTATAGGTGCCTATTCATTTTTCGAAAATTTACCATCCACAATTATGAGGGGCAAAACCAGTATTTCTCGATAAGGTGGTTCTTGTTCTAGCGCTCTTCTGAAAACAGGAATGTCAATATGTTGCAAAGTTGGCGTTTTTTTCCCATATTCATTTAATGTTTTGATTTGTCAGCGAAATTTTAATTTTTTTAAATCCACCCACTTTTCCCCCCTAAGGGATGGGAAAATTGTAACTAAAATTACAGGAGCTGCATCATCTGTAGGTCACCATCAAGTCAGAGCACATCTTTTAAACACTTCAATTGGAATGTTATCCTTGTTGGTTCAACCTGCATTGACTGGAAAAAAAATTACCATTTGATCCTTAATTTGTGTAGTCGTCTAGATCACGAATATCAGAAAAGTTGACTTTCAAAGTATTGTGACATTGATATATGACTTATTTGGGCAATAATTAAAGATCACTTGTAATTATCTTTGTGGAGTTCTATCAAAAACTTATGCAATTCCGACGTTCAAGACCAACATCGAACTTTGGTCGTCCATATTGTCGTACTTGTTATTATCGAGAACTCGATTGGGGCCATAGACGCCTATTAACAAAGTGAACTCAAAAGTCAGTATCCGACATTCTGTATCCCCTCTCCCTCGTTCCACTCAGCTTTCTCTTGGTACAAATAAAGCCATTCAATCATTGGTCTATTTTTCCCAGATAAAAAGAGGAGGTTAGTAACACATTTGCAAGTTCAGAGGGGAGATGCTAGATGTCCTCTTAAGGAATCCGGATATTCCGAAGTCATCGTACTCTCATGTATAACCCATTTATTTTATCTTTCATTATGTCAGTTGAGATCTTGTCACAAGACTATCAATTGTAGTTGGCTTTCTATGCACTCCTTTTTCTAAAAATACACCAATGTATAAAACTGTTTTGCTGATTTCTGTACCTCCTACGCCTTTGCAAACAGTAAAAAAGCATACTTTTCTAACTAAAACGCAAAATTAAATAGACAGACACTTGATTAAACAACCATAGCTCCGAAAATCACGTCGAATCTAATCAATTTCTCATTATATTATTATTCGATTGGTAGCATTATTCAGCGAGACACATCCATCAGTGGATGAGTACCTTTGGCTCAAGTGCAAACCCGGTTGTACTAAATAGAAGAAAGATAACGTTAAGTAGGCGTGAGAATCAGTTTTGCCTGTGTGCACAAAGCTGCGTGCGTGCGTGTATGCGACCGAGCACGCTGCATAAGACGCACCAATCCCTGGAGTGGAAAGGCACAACTTCGGTGAATATATATGCATATATATATAATAGACTTGTTTCACCGAAGTCTTCGTGAATTATCAACTTCCCTCCGAATAATTAATATCCGCATCAACCACCTCCCAAGGCTTTGAATTCGGTAAGTTTCCTTCCTATACCCAACCCCCCCCCCTTCTCACCTTTATATCGTTTGCAGTTGGCAATTAATTTACATAATAATAGTCTACATATAATTAAATTTATCTGATCTTATATAATGGGATTCATTTATACTTTAAGAATTTCCCCCATTTTTCTTAATTTTCATACAAATTATAAAAAGTATTATTATTCTAGAAAATTCTGAATATGTTGAATACCATTAATGTGCTTGCATTCATGATTAAATATTTAGGGTATCTAATAGGGTTAGTAAGTAAAGATAATAAAATAGATTTATTTAAATTAGATTTAAAATCCCCATAACAAAATCAGTATTAAGGTGATGCTTTTTCAATTACTTTAAAAAATTCCATTTACTTTCAAATGAATAAGTAGATAATCGAAATCAATGAAAATTGAACGTAGATTTCGGAGTAAAAATTATTGATAATTTCCAATTATTACGTACTAAAATTAACTCGAAAGTATTATAGAGACTTAGAGATCTCCCTTGATTGATACTTGAAAGAAAATGATGGTTAATAACAACGATTTCCCTCCTTTCAGAAGCCAATTAAACTTTCCATGTTGCTGTTCGATTATACACGACTTGTCATTCTTCTTACTCTCAATTACTTTTGCCGCCCTCTTTCGGCTGCTCAACAAGACCCACTTCAAGGTTGTGAAGAGTTCCCATCAAAGCCAGTTGATTGTGAGCGATTCCCTGACAGCCTGGAATGTGATGGTCGTCATCATCAGATCCAGGTAAAACCTTGCACGTACATCATTACCCTCAAATCAAAATTCTTCCCCTCCGAATTGGCGGTTCTATGTGGTTGGCCAAGACACACCCTTCCATGTATGCTTAACAATGGTGAAAGCTGTGATCTCTTTCCGATGGAATTTTCAGAATACGAGCTTGCCTACTTACAATTGATAAATATAGAATTGGAGGTTAGAATTACCTACCTTCATCGTCAATATGCTAAAGGCGTAAATCTGTCATTGGAGACACAAAGAGAAGTTGAGCAGATTACATCTGATAATCTCTATTGGTTGTGCTCACGAAAATGTATTAATTCAACTTGCGTATTCGATGCGCAGCTGCGACCACAGAGGAGAAGCCATGTCCTTTCACCCAGTATGACTGCTCTAACGACAGAATACCCTGACGTTCGTCGGGGTGGACTAATTAAGATCCTCCTCCCAGTTGGGTCAAATGAAATATCAAGACTACTGGAGAAGGCTGCTCCCTTCAAACACCTAGCGGTATCCTCTTTGCCTCTTGCGATATCCTGCAAAAGATGTTAATATTGATACCTTGCACCCNNCCCCCCCCCCCCCCCACTACGGCTTTTGCATTTATTTCAATGCCTGTGACTTCTACTTGGTATGGCATTGAAGTGTTACCATTCACTTCCCCCCCCCCTTCCAAATGACGTATTTTGAATTTTGCTACTTACTCCCAACACACACACACACGCGCGCGCGCGCACACACTCCTTCATGTAACTGAAAAATTGTACATCCCTAACTTCCGCCTGTATCCACTCCCCCCGAATACATATTTTGGAAAGAGTACAATGTTTTACATCTACCTTCTTCACTTTCCATTACTATTTAATTGGCTGGAAATTACTAACCTCTAATACATATGAGCAATCTGGCTGTGTGGAGGTAAATTAGCTAAATATTATCGGCTGTAAGCAAGTGATGAAATTGATTTTGAAAAGCTTATTTTTGGAATTTTGGGTTAAGTAATGGTAGCTTAATCAAAAGATTGCGAAAAAATCTTCTACCATAGGAGTGCATTTGGTGTGACGCAAATCACGGAATTCCACAGTATTAGGGAGTTAACTACCCGCCTCAGAATTGTTTGTTGTAAGAATCATAAAGGTAATTACAAACTGGAAGAGGGGTTGGTATTACAATGAGCCTTCGTCAGTGTTAATGATCTGATCATACTTATAACGTTGGGGTGTGCGGTGGACTTACCTGCACGTGGTGCATCCTGGGCAACGTATACTCATGCGGAAAAATATGTCTATAAACCGGCAGTTGACTTCTGACTTTAAACTACCATCACCCCACTCTATGTCATATTCGACTACTTCCACAGTACTCACCTCACCTTTCATCTACCTTTGTGTCCGTCTCTTTTACATCTTTGAAATACTCTTCTGTTCCCCTCCCCCCCTCTCGACTTTTTTCGATTTGATGTCCCTCTCCCTCTGTGAAGCCTGAAGTCAACTAAAGGGCTAATGATAACTATCATAAATCCTGTCATTTGATATAAATAAATACTTTTAACGTTATCCAAACTATTCTACCTCGTTTTAAATAGTTTAAACTGAAAATGGAAGACTTAACGTAGCGCAGTGTGTACGAACTCTGCTCCATGAGAGCTGTGTTTTGGTGAATATTTTGAAGCATCTTACCTGGAGAGAACTCCGTAAATCAGTAATTGTATGCAATTTGCGGGAAAAAATAATAACTATCGTTGAGCGGGTAGTGATCTCATCACATGGGATTCCATTTCTCACCTGGAAGTCACCATGTGGAACTGCCATATATTGACGAAGGGGCAAAAATATATAGGCATATATTTAAGGTGAAATGGTATTTAATAAAATAAGAGTGACAGATCTAGCACGATTTCAAAAAAAGGAAAGAAACGCGGTACTAAAACATCCGGATTCAAGTAGAGTGAGGATTTAAATCGGTGTGCATGTGTGTTCGTCCGACTGCGCGCATTTTTGAAACATCCAATCAGAAGGGAGGTTAAGGGATATATAAACAACCTGTTTCTCCAAAACGCATTTACTGAACTCACTCTCTGTCCACGACTCCTCATTTCTTAAATCTGAGGTGAGTACCTAACCATTCACTAACTACAAATATACTTTGTATAAATTCAATCAAATTGAATTTTAACAAAGTTAACAGGTCTGGCACTCGCCATTCTACTTTACGGTTGCTAGTATCAGATTAATTTGCATTGTTAAACGAAATTGCTCATTTTCCTTCTTTAAGTTATTAGGCATTTCTTGTTGTTTTACTTTTAGTATCTATTTTTTTATTTCATGTCCAACGAATGGTTAACCCAAAGTTACCCTCTTTTCTAATACTCGAGATAAAACATTTTCACTTGTTACCATTAAGGATAAATGCTGATCATGACTTAGAAATAGAGATAATTCATCCGGGGCACGTGCAGTGGGATTTTTTGAAACGGTCTTATTAAACAATAAACTTTGACAGTGTATTGAACCAAAAATATGGAGCCAAAAAAGCCTGATGGTTGAATAAATGTTATGCCCCTCATGTGTGGATGATTTCTTAATTTCAGGAATCCATTCTCGTTTCTTTTTCTCACTGCGATGGCATTCAACAGAAAATCGCCTCTGCCTGTCCTTCTCCTTGCCCTGAATTGCCTCTTCATGTCTATTTTGGCAACTAAACTTAATAGACTTCAAGAATGGGACGATTTTCCGCCAGAGCCTGCTGACTGTGAAGAGTATCGTGTTGACAGTGCAGATGTATTCCTAAAAACATCCAATGAATGCACATATACTGTCACCCTCAAGTTAAACCTCTTCCCGAATGAACTGGCCGTCCTCTGTGCTCGGCAAAGACCAACTCTACCCTGCCTTATCACTAATGGGGAAGGCAACTGCAAAATAGATCCTATGGAATTCTCCGAATTCGAACTCTATTTACTTGACATTGTAAATAGAGAGTTGCAGATGCGCATTTACCGTCTTCAGCAGCAACAATACAGGGGACTACAAGTCTCCCTAGACACTCGGGCTGAAGTGCAGCAGATAATATCTGACAACTTGTATTGGCTGTGTTCTCGAAAATGCAGCAACTCAACTTGCGAATTCGACGCGGAATTGAAATCTCAGAGGCGGGTGATGGGAAATGTTCCGAGGTTGACATCTTTAATTACAAATTACCCGAAGCCACGCCGTGGTCGACAGATTGAAATATACCTTCCCATTGGGCCAGATGAAATCGCCCGTCTTTTGCGGAAAAATGCGCCCTTTAGGCACTTGCCTGTCTCTTCTCTACCCCTCACTGTATCTTGCCAACTAAATTGATACACCACAAGTAAATTTCTCTCTCTCTTTTGCCGTTTTGCATTTACTCAAACTATGCCCGGTTCGCTATTTTAATCGTTGTCCAGTTTTCCCTTCCCACTGTGGTCGTTTATGATCCTACCTTCTACCTACTTCTGTGTGAAAGATCATAACTTGTATTGTGATTTCTACCCAAGGTGCTCTGTGGTCCCGTTTACGCAGCATCCCCATGTGTCCCTAAATTCTGTGTGTTCTCCCTCTTACCACTCCCACGTTATTCCATTTGGGGAAAAAAAGTTCTTTAAAACAAAAATTGAGTGCTTTGATGTCTGCCTTCATGTAATAGATGAAATCAAATTTATTACACCTTTCGGTTCTTTGAAATATGTTGGTGTTTGGAGTTTGTTAATTAAATTCGCATAAAAGTATGTCGATAATAGGGCTATATTGCTATGGTGCTATATTTCAGAAATGGCATAAATAGAATGCGCGTTTCTTAAAGCCGTCCGTTAAGAAGTTAATATTGTAACAGTTTAGAAATGTGTTTAAAGATGACAATCTTTTCTACGCGGCAGAATCAGGCTTCCAGTTAAATTCACCTGTTAATCTATGAGTCGGATTGAGGTGATGGGATTTGTGAAAGTATGTAGAGGATGCAATAAACATGTGAAATTTGCTCAAATCCATCATCATAACACTGCTGATATCCTCTTTTTAATTTTTTCCGTAATTTATTCTAATCCTCCATTTATTCTCATTCCTTAGGGGGGACCTATTTGTGATTTTCTGAGCTTTGTGTGCACTGATATGATTGCAGCATTAAATCTTTTCATGGGTAATACTTAAAGTATCAAAATGAAGGAGGGGGGGGGGAGCTGTTTTTGATACCGATAGTACGAAGATAGGACTTACGGTTAAATAGTATTCCCCCCCCCCCTCCTCCCCCAAATGGCTAGAGGGATATAAGTACTTTAAAAGAACAGAAAGTCAAAAGAGTTGAAAGCCAGAAGTCAGATTGTGCGCATAAAATAAGGTGCGGGTGTGTGGCATTTGAATAGTCCAATCAGAATGAAAGTTGGGCACTACCCCCAAATGAATATATATATATATATATAAGTGATCTATTCCTCCAGGGATCTTCATAAAATTTGACGTCATTAGGTGTCCACAACTTCGTCGTACAATTACCACTTCACTCGCAATCGGCAATTGGTAAGTCTTCAAATTTCGGTCACTATTATTTAGCTATAATCGTTACGTTTTCTACTACAGTTTAATAATATTGGGCATATTTTTGAACAGACATCTGCTTATTATAACATTAATTATCCTCATTTTATTACCAATTCATTCTGAGCCGGGTCATATATGTGATACATCTCTCAAATTTAAATTATTTTTTTTACCTTTGGGTAGAAACTACTACTCAAATATAATATTAGGGACCATTCACCTCAAAAATCCTTTTATACTTGATTTGATTAAGTAGACATTCTGTCAAGGAAAATACCGAGTTAATCATTGCATGAAAGGCCGTTAAACAATACACCAATTTTGTTAACTGAAAGCATTTATTGGCTGGAGGCTGAAGTCATGTCCCGAGTAGACGCAGTAAAGAGCTATGGCACGGTTTCACCTGCCAGCGAATTTTCTGGAAGGGGTTAAATGAGGTTGCAGTCAGCTGGCGCAAGTGAAGTAGGTGTTTAATACAGGTCTCGCATGCAAAGAGTGCGTCGTTTTTAATGTGATAGCCGAACGCACGAATGATACTTGCAACACAGTTTGTGCGTTAGACAGATACGCGCTAAGTGCGGATGTGAAAGTCTAATCATCTTTATAAGGAGGCACTTAACCACCATGACCCACATATAATCGCATCAACGCCCGTTTTCTAACCTAGGGGTTTCTCACTATCTCTCAATCTCTCTATAGACTCAGATGGGAATCAATCAACGAATGTCTCTTCTTGTTCTCATTCTTGTTCTCAACTACCTGTTACTCCCTATCACGACTACCGTTATCCTTCAGCCCGGAGTTAAATTTAACAGACTTCAACTATGGGAAGACTTCATGCGGGAACCAATTGATTGTGAACAGTTTCCCGACAGTCCTGAGTGTGAAGATCCGTATCAGAGGAAATCTATCCACTGCACTTACACTGTAAATCTTCGTTCAAAATTCTACCCCACAGAGGAAGTTTCTCTATGTGGTCGACCCAGACAATCTCTCCCTTGTCAAATGCACGGTGGCTCGGAATGTCAACTGCCTCCAATGGAAATTTCTGAATATGATCTACTCACCCTATATGTCATCAACCAGGAGTTGCAAGCGAGAATCCTTCGTCTTCAAAGTCAACAGGATACAGGCCTGGATCTTTCCCTCGATATTCAACGAGAAGTTGAGCAAATAATTGCTGACAATGTTGCCTGGTTGTGCTCACGAAGGTGCAACAACTCATCCTGTGAATTCAACGCGGATTTGCAACCTCAGAGGAAAGGTGTTGGCAGCATTACTCGAATGACTTCCCTAGTAACGGAGTATCCCTTCTTTCCGGGTACTAGGCGTATTGAAATCTTCCTTCCAATCGGCTCGTTCGAAATCTCCCGATTATTGAGGAAAGCCACGCCTTTCCGACATCTTGCTGTCTCCTCCCTTCCTCTTACCGTTTCGTGCCACAAGAACTGACAACTCCGAATTAATATCAGTAGAACTCCAGATCTCTTAACCATGTAAAACAAATCATATCCACTTTTTGCATTTATTTCAACACTTGGACTTCCACCTGATAAACTCCCAACCCCCCATTCAATTAAGTATTGTACACTGATGATCACTTTATAAACCCATCCCTGTTTTGTGCAAAAGATTACGAAATACCCTCGCCATAGTTTTCTGTATGCGAATATCACGTGGATATTAGTGCTTGAGCAGCATTCCTCACATTCTATTTTTCTGTTCTTTGTCTTTTTCCCTCCAACCCCCCCCCCCCCCTCCCCACCTCCTCTCCGTCAGTCCTTTTGCAAAAGAATGTTGCCTTTGTTTGGAAAAAAAGAATAATAAAGTTGTTTGTTGTTGGGGATTGTCGCATTGTTGCAGGATGGCTTTGATTTAATTTGTCCCCTCAAAAATTGGAGTCTTGAAGAAATTATGTATATAATGATTAATTTAAAGTTGATGGAGATTGTTGTTTAAAAAAGGTCATAGGATTTATTTAAACAAATCAATTGGCCATGATTGACTCTGAACCACCTGTAGAAGACAGGGAAGAATTTCAAAAAGTATTAAATTTTATAGCATCGCATTATGATATTATCATTAAAATGTCTCCCCTCCCCCAATGTATCATTGAAACAGTGCTAAATTAATTAACCGCAGGTTGTAATAATGAAGGATCCAACTTGCTGAATGGAATTCATCATGATTTCGTCCACTCCTCTGGACATGTCATATTTCAGTATCACTCTGTTTGTTAATCGACAGCGACCATTCAAATGTGATCCACGGTATCACCAGCGCATAACTAAGAGAGAAAACGTCCAGTGCTCTATGACAACACTTAATCGCGAAGGAAGCTGAGTACTTGGTAAAAGTAGTGAAATCGCTAAGTGCTGAAAGTCGAAATGAGGAATAGACCATAATTTCCCTAGTTTTGTAGGGAAATTCAAAGCATACTACTGCGTAGTTTCTGAAAGAAATTGAATTAAACTTTTGGCGCAGTTCTCAAGGTGGCGTCATCAGATTCTCTTTCGGAAATTAGCAAAGGAAGATCACTCAAACCTCTAAGTTAAGAACTCCAGGAAATTGGGATAGAAAACCTCTATTCTCTTCTTGGCTTTTAGATGTTGAATAAAGATAACTGATTGCATACTCAGATATTTAGAGTGAATGTGGATATAACGATTGTACATTTTAGTACAAATACACTATTTTGTTATTTGTTTCTAAAATATTGTTTTACTTTCCGTAAATGCCGTAAGGTGTTGGCAACACAATTTTATTTACAGTCCATTCATTAACTTAAACAAACTGACATAGTTATTGGAAAAACGATTTACAACATGTTTGTCACTTAAGCATTCAACACGACTACTACCATTGGCACTATAAAATTCATTTCTGAAACAGCACTCTTTACTGCTTCAAGGGCATAATTGGGTGATGGATTGGAGGAGATAGAAGTTTGTCTTGAAGCTTTTTATTGTTTTTCCGTTGTACTTTTAAGCAACAGATGCATTCCTTAACTTTTGAGAGCATGGCAGTGTGCAATGTAGTTGAATCAGTTTCGGCAGCCCTAGCCAACTCGTTTCATTATGAATCTTGAAGGGTCAAACAAGTGCGCTCTTCCGTTATCAATTAGTGCCAACTGTCATGTTCTGATCAGAAAGTAAGAGGCAGGGATTCAGATTCTAAAGGTTCTCCGGTTTGAAGTATTTTGAAGTAGTCGATGCCTTCAAAGAGCGCAGGTAATTATGCCTATTGATTAGTTTTCGATAACGCAATGAAACAGTCATTCAGTTTGGGTGAGAGATTTAACTTCTGACCTGCGAATTAGTTTGAAAATATCCCATGAGAGAAAAATCTTCAATTTTGTATTCCCATTAAATACAATCCATTTATTTGACAAACAGTTCTTCGGCAATAGCATCAAAGTGGCTCAGAACTTAGACTGATTAAAACTCATTCCTAAGAAATGTTGGCGCTCAGTAGTTCCAGAAAATTATCATCATTCGTGTTCAATTGTTCCAGAAACTACCTTTGTAGTCGTGCAAGTGGATTTAATGTTAGTGTAAGCGGGAAAATCGTAATAATACATTTATTAGTTAATTGTCCTCAAAATAGATTAAATATAAATGTCGACTAATTAAAATTATACAATAAAGTCGAAAAATAACTCTTAATCTAATAAGTGGGACATTCAAATATCTTGGAGTATATCAAGTTCTTGGTTAATTATGGAAACTCACAATTCGAGCCAGAAATTGGTGAAACTCCAAGACATGTGTGCTCTCTCACATATCCCTTTTTATTAACAACAAATTATTACTATCTTAAAATCGTTGATGTTTTTTTGAAATTATAAGATGTTTCTTAATTTTAATTTCGACCCCTTTCACAGTACTCATCTTACCTTTTTCTCTA